CACCTGTGGCATTGGGACAGCCATGGCATTTGGGCACAGGGATGGGTGCTCAGCCAGGTTTCTCAGGCAGCAGCACCTTGGCAGCCAAATTCACCAACCATCACCACAGGGGAATTAGGGGAGCCCCTGTCTGGGGAGCCAGGCACAGCACTGGGCTCAGTGTTTGGGGTGCAGCTGGTGGCTGTAGTAGAGAGCTGGGGTCAGGAGCCCTTGGCTCTCACCCAGCCTCTGTTCTGAGCTGGCTGGGCAGCTTTGGTTGAGTTTCTTAACATCTCTGTGGCTAAACTCCTTCCCTATCGAGGTGGGTGAATCTTCTGAGCGTATTGGGAAACTGCTGCTGAAGCAGCCGGTCTGCCGGGAGGCTGCGCCGGGAGGAGCCGCCTGTGGGTGGCCACAGCGGACGTGCCTGTGGACGGAGAGGTGACAGGGAAGGGTGATGCCTGCGGAAGAGGGATGGACATCACCTCTTTGGGTCTTGATTTTGGCCAAGATGGTGAGTCTGTCCTGAGCCCTGGCATGAACCCATCATGTGCCAAGGCAGGGCCACCCCGGGCCATCACAGGGCAGGTTGGGTGAAGCTGTCACCTCCTGCCACCTCCAGCTCCAGAGGCTGCCACCACCTTCGGAGACGGCTGCTGCTCTGCGGGATAGCAGCTGATTAGCTCCTCCAGCTGGTTTATTGGCTTACTGGTGACAGTCCCCAGGTGGATTTCATTTTCCCAAGAGGGTATGTGCATGTATTTGGTTGTTCAATGCACACTGTCCCTCTCCTACCGCCCAGGGAAGCAGAATGGTGTTCCTGCAGTGCCCTTGCAGGGCTTTCCTGCATGCAGGGTACTCGTAGCAGGCAGTGTAGGGGTGCTCGGGACTGGATGTTCAGGGATGCTCATGGTACAGGGACACTCAGTGTTGATGCTGTGGCTGGCAGCACAGGGATGTTCATGACACTGGGATGCTCAGACCTGCAGCACAGTGAGGCTCATGACACAGGGGTACTTGCAGCCAGCAGTGTGGGGATGTGATTTCCCAGGACAAGGGGATGGGATGAGAGTCTGTGACACAGGACCAGCAGAGAAAGGGTTGTTTTTGTGGCAAGAAGGTGGATCTCCTGTTACGGATTTGTGTGTTGTCCTGAACAGCAACAAAGCCTTGCAAATAGTGGAGCTCTGCTGTGGCTGCCCTGGCTGGACAAATCCGGCAGGGGGTCACAGCACTAAAACCTGCCTTGTCCTGTGTGAGAGCCAGGGCAGGAGCATCCAAAGGGCAGGACTCCACAGGATATTTGGGCATTTCCTTCCCCAGCCAAACCCAGGCGAGCACGTGTCACGGCTTCCCAAGGAGCGCTTTGGAGGGATTGTGTCGGTGTCCAAGAGCTCGGGGTGAAGCTCACGGCTGTCCCCGCAGGAACAGCTCTCCGCAGGAGGGCAGCGGGTGACTCAGGGTGCCCGGTCCGCTGGCACAGGGGTGCTGGGCTGGCCGAGGGCACGCCTGGCTCCACGCAGCCGGCACAGCCGGCGCCAGGCGAGTGCCTCGGGGGGGTAAATACGGCTTTGTGCCGGGCCGGCTGCCAGCGCGGCGGGTGAGGTGCCCGCCCCGGCCGGCCGCTCCCCGGGTGCCCCCCGCACCCCGCGAGGAGCCCAGCCCAGCCCGGCATGCCCGCCATGGGAGGGCGGCCCGCGGGGAAACCGAGGCACAGGCGAAGGAGGCTGCTTGGGAATGCGCCATGCGGGGCTGTGCCTCAGTGGGGACCCAGAGGCCAAGGGCCGGGGCCAGGCCGTGCCAGGGCTGAGGGTCCCGGCCCCGTTTGGTGCTGGGCGGCCGCGCTGCCTTCGCCACGGCCGGCGGCCGGCCCGACATTTGTAAGCAATTTGCCGGAGCGTTCCGGAGGTGCTTCCCGCTGCCGCTTGGCAGCCAGACGCCGCACAGAAGCTCTTCAGCTCCCTCGAGGCCTCGCTCAGGCCCGGCCCTGCGCTGCGGAGCCTCCTCCTGCCCGGGCAGGCGCCGGGGCAGAGCGGGCGGGGACCCCTCACGGGGTCGTGCTGGGGGGCAGGGCCGGGCGGGGGGAAGCCGCGGCTGGAGTTAACCCTTGGGGTGCACCAAGCTGAGTTTTATCCCTGGAAATAAATAACCCCTTCAGGGTGCCTTGTATTTCAGCGCTGGGCCCGTGTTCTGGGCTCATTCTCCCGGGTTATGAACATGCTCTGGTGGGGAATGGGGGTTGCGGATGAGGCCTGAGAGTGCCCCTGCCCCAGTGATGATGTGGCTGGGAAGGATCTGGCCACGCCGTCCCAATGCTGTAACTGCATTAACCCTGCAGCCCTTTCCCAGCCCAGCTCTGCAGCCCCCTGCCAAAGCTGAACAGGCCAGACTGGGAGGGCTGCGGGATTGGGAACAGCTTGGCCCAGCCTCTGCTGAGCTCCAGAACATCTGTGTGGAAAAGGATGGGTAGCCTGGGCACCAACGAGGAGAGAAGGGGCTGAAGAAATGGGGAATACCTGGGGAATTGGTCAGAAGGAGCACATGGATGGAATGAGGAGGGGGAATGCAGGGAAATGTCCCATCAGCTGCCTTCCTGTCACCAGGTCCCTGGAGTTTGAGGCTGTGCAGCAGGATGGCACTGGTGGAGGGGTCCCAGCTGCTTGGCTGTGCTCTGCTTCCCCTCCATCCCTCTTTTTCTCCTTTCCCATGCCTTTATGCTGGGGTGTCAAGACACTTTCCCACCCACACTTCACCTACCAGCCTTGCTGCAAACCCTCCAGCTCTCCAAGCAGTGATTTACCCACCTGCAAACCAGGGGTGCTTTCCCTCTCTGCCCAAGGTGGATCCAAGCATTTAGGAAGACCCCCAAAGGGAATGCTGCTCCTGGCTCTGCTATTGGTGACCTGCAGCTTTCTCAGCCACCCACACCGTGTCCATGTGCTGCTGCCCTGTGTCCTGGCCTGGCTGGGCTGCTGAAGCAGGGAACGAATTTGAGGAATGTTGCTCAGGGAGATGTGGATGCTGCCAGCTGCCTGGGACACCCACCGTGTCCTGGGACATCCCAGCCCTGCTTAGTGGACTGGCCAGCTCAGTCCCCTTGAAGGTGGGGTTAGGGATAGGATATTTGGGTGAACTCCCCTTCTTCAAACAGTGGGCATTGCTCAACTCCAGGACCAGCCCCCAGGGGCTGTGGGATGTTTCTGCCTCTTTTGGAGGTGTTGGTGCTCATTGGGCATCTCCATCCAGCCATCTCCTGTCCCAGCATTGCACTCCCAGTGGTCATCATGGAGGGTCTGCCCCTCCTGCCCTGAGTAAGGACCCCTCTTCCCCCTCTTCTTTCTCCTCCCCTTCCCGACCCTTTTCCAGTGGCAGTTTTCAGCTGCAGATGGTGGGAGCAATCCCAGTGGTTACGGTTCTCTAGGACTCGGATCAGAAGTGGCCAATTTACAAGTGAAATGTTATTTTTTCCTGGCTGCTGAGGTCAAGGGAAGCGACTTGTCCTTGATGAAGACCCCAGATCCTGAGCTCTTGGGGCTGGGAGGGGGAAGTGGGAGCTCTGCTGAGTGATGGCTTTGGGAGCCAGTTCCTTTGGGAAGGTCTGTTGGGTTGGTGGCTGAGGCTCAAAGACAAACAGTCCCTGGAAGAGGTAATTAGGGTGATCCTGTCCCGATCCCCTCAGCTGTGGTGAGGAGTCACGAGTCCTTCACCAGCAGCCACTCCAAGCTCATTTTGTGTTAATTAGGCTGTTTACAAAACACTGTAAATTGCAGTAATGAACACCCCAGTCCTTGGTTTCCTTTAATTATCCATTTGCATGATGAATGAGCCAGCCCCCCTTCAGCTCTTCTTTTCCAGCAGAGGGGTCACACAGCCCAGTATGGCTTAAGGGATCTGCCATGCAAGGTGGGCAGAGACCTTGGGAGAGAAGGAGAAGAGAAGGGAATTGAGGAGGAGGAGAGGAAGGAAAAGGAGAAGGATCTTCAGCCCCAGAGATCTACCTGGCTGCGAGGAAGGGGCTCCTTCCCCAGGACCCCCCCACAGCCAAGTGGGGTTTGAGCAGCTGTTTCACCCCAGGCTCAGAGCCTGGGACTCAGATTTGATTTTCTGTAGGAAAAAGCACAGAAATCATTCAAAGCATTTAATCCTCCCTGGCTCAGTGCTGGGGCTGCCTGGAAAGGCAGAGGAGGAGTGGTGGTATTTCTTGGCCCCCACATACCTTCCCCTTTCTTTCCCTTTTGACTTAGCGGGTGAATTCCAGAGATGTTAATCCGCTCTCAGCCCCTCGGTGAAGAATAAAATGTCCTCTCTGTGTGGGAGGAAGGAATCCATTGGAATTAATTGTGGGAAGGGGCAGGGAGCTGGGGGTGCACTGGGGGTGCGTGTGAGGCTGTGCTGAGGGTGGGCTGAGCATCCTCTGCTGCCCAGTGGTCCCTGAAGGAGCAGGAGATATGGGCAGAGGGGTAGGGATAGCCAAGGTGGCACAATCCTTGGGTCGCTGAAGGGGAGGGAGGGCTGGCCAGGGGAGTGGGGATGTCCAAGGTAGCACAATCCTTGCATTCACAGCTGAAAGCTCCGGCCTCTGCCCTGGCCATAAAAATGCCAGCCATGTGGTCTGTGGGCCAGGCCTCAGTGGCAGTGGCGGGCACAGGGAGCGAGTGGGGGTAAAATGGCCCCACTCAGCAGTTTTGGTGTGTCCGTGCCTATAAAGGGAAGGGAAGCGCTCGCTGTCCTGCCAAGCCAGGGTGGCAGGAGCTGCGGGGTCTGACCCATCCCGGGGGCACACATGGATAGGGCAGGAGAGATGGAGGGAGGAAAGGTCTAAGCTGGAGCTGGGTCAGCCCACTGAGGGTCCGTGGAGGTGAAAGTGGAGGCAGAGGAGAGTAGAGGAGAGACCCCCGGGATGGGCCAGGCGCTGTTCTGTGCGCTGGGAGGTGGGTCTGGTGTGGGATGGGGTTCATGGGGGGGCCTGGGGGCCTGCAGGCTCTGCCTCCTGCCCTGACCTTCACCTCTTGTCTCTGCAGAGCTCCTGGGATCTGCCAAGCGCCTGAACGTGAACTACCAGGATGCAGACGGGTGAGTGCTCCCCTGGAGGGTGCTGGGTGCTGCTGCCAGCCCGGGGGCTCCTCTCCCTGCTGTCCACTCAGTCCTGCAGCTCAGGGTGTCACACAGCTTTCCAGGGGAGCTGGGGAACACATCAACATCCCAGAACCAGGGAAGCCCTGCACAGGCAGAGCCAGTGCCTGCCTGGATCTCAGCTGAGGGCCGTGCTCAGTCCCTCCTGGAAACCCTTCATAAATCCCTTCTATGTGCCCCTCTGTGGGGATGGGGTTGGATAGGGATGGCAGCGTGTCCAGCCAGTGCCCTGTGTCCCCCTGGTTGAAGCCCAGAGGAGCACCCAGCCGGCCTCAGTGCCTGCACGTGCTCATGCCTCTGTTTAATATCCCAAAAGCAAAATCCCATTGTTTTGGGGGGAGTTGGAGAAAGAAAATATGAGGTTGCCCAGTGACCACAGCATATTTGTGTAGCTCATCACTTCCAAAATCCAAGTACTTAATAAACTGGGTACTGAGAGTTAAAGAAACCACAAAGGCTCATAAAATAAATAAGCATATTATTCTTATTGAATTAACTCTGACCTGTCAGTCATTAGCATTGTTTTTATGTGCTGTTGTTGTACCTAATTTCTACATGTTTTCTTTTGGAGGGTTCTGTAGGAAGAGGTGTCCATGATGAGTCCTAACAGGCCAGTGGGGGGTTGGGAACGTGCAGGATGGCTCCGTCTTAAAATAATACTGTGCAGATGGAGCTTAATAGAAAAAGAATTTAATAATAGAAGCAATGATCTGATTCTGATAGGGCACAGGGTTTGTGCTTGGGCAAGTCCAGGAGGCTGATGGTGGGAACTGGGGTAAAGGATCTGTTCCCTGCCCAAGGGACACGGGCAGGGTGTTGGGTTTCGCTGGGGCACAGGAAGGGGATGATGGGGAGGTGAGACATGAGCATGGGGAGGGCAGTGTGTGTTCTGGGAGAGCCAAGGTGCTGGTGATGTCCTTGGCATCACCTTGCTCAGGGCTTGGAGAGGATGGGGTGGGCAAATGTGGGTTTGTGCAGCCACCCCAGGGCAGAGTGAGACCCCACAGAGATGGGTCAGGGGGATTTTGTACTCCCCCCACATCCACGCTTTGAGGCAGAGGTTTTGCTGTGGCTCAGGACATGGTGTGTGTACTGGAGAAAGGAGCAGCCCTCTCTCCTGGGGTTAGTGTCCCTCCTGCAATGCTGAGACTTGCACAGGGATCTGGGGATGCAGATCATGAGGAGAGCCATGCTGGACGAGCTGAGTCCCTGGCACTGGGTTTGGACACTGCAGAGCCCATTGGAGCCCCAGGCTGGTGCTGTCAGGAGCCCCCATGTCCCTTGGAGTGGCTCACGGGCTAATCCCCGGTGGCACAGGGAGCCCTCTCTTGGCCTTGGCCCTTCACGTGACGGCTCAGGGGAGTGCCAGGCAGACAGGCCCCTTTCACAGCCCCAAGACACTGGGCTCTTTCATTACCGGCGGCCTCCCACGCTCTGCCATGGGCTCCTGGCAGCCCTGCTGGCATGGGGAGGGGGCAGCTGGCAGAGGGGGCAGGAGTGGCCACAAGGCTGATGTGTTTGCAGGATGCTGTGGGCAGCGTTGTGGCTGCCTGGCTGCCCCATGGAGAGGGGAGGTGCATCTCTCTCCATCCTGCCTGTTTCCCCCAACAGAGGGCCTGGGGTGAGGGACTCCTCTCACTGGGGTTTCCCAAGGTACACAGTGTGCCTGCATCCCTCACTGAGCCCTGGGGCACAGGCAGCTTGGAGGGATTCATCAATGTTTTGCCCTGGGGAATCTGAGGCACTGGGAGTGGCGAATCTGGGAGGATGTCACCATGAACAGCCAGTGACAATCCCAGCCCTCAGCCCGTGTCCCTGCGCAGGGGGTGCTGTGAGGACAGCACAGTGGGGCTGGAGGCCGGGCTGAGCCCTTCCTTGTGCCACAGGTTCTCAGCGCTGCACCACGCAGCCCTGGGCGGCAGCCTGGACCTCATCTCGCTGCTGCTGGAGGCGCAGGCCACCGTGGACATCAAGGACAGCAACGGTAAGGGGTGACCCCGGGCACGGCCCCCGGCCCAGCCCCCTGTGCCCGCCGGGGGCCGTGTCCAGCCCTGCTGAGCCGCGCTGCCCACAGGGATGCGGCCCCTGCACTACGCGGCGTGGCAGGGCCGCCTGGAGCCCGTGCGGCTGCTGCTCCGCGCCGCCGCCTCCGTCAACATGGCCTCGCTGGACGGGCAGATCCCGCTGCACCTCTCGGCGCAGTACGGCCACTACGAGGTGGTGAGTGAGAGCCCAGAGCCACCGTGTGCCCTCCGTGGGGCTCCCTGGGGTGCTGGGTGGGGGCAGACCCTGCCGTGCCGGGTGGGAGGGAGGCTGCAGGGGGATGCTGAGCCCCTGCACCGCGTTGCTCCCCTGCAGTCGGAGATGCTGCTCCAGCACCAGTCCAACCCGTGCCTCATCAACAAGGCGAAGAAAACCCCGCTGGACTTGGCCTGCGAGTTCGGGAGGCTGAAGGTGAGTGCTGTGGGCTCTGCCAAGGGCTTCTCCAGGGGCTGCTATGGAGCCCACTGGCTCCTCTGGGAGCAAAGCACGGGGTCTGGCCACAACTGCTCTCCCTCCACCATGAGACTCAGAGCCTGGCAGACAGCAGCTGCCTCCTCCCGTGGCCAGACACAGCCTGATCCTGAACCTGGGAGCTGTGGGTTTTGCCCCTGACCTCACAGCAGGACAGTGTTAGACTGGGAGTGAAGCCAGGAGTTGTTGCTCCTGGTTCTCCACAGCCTTCCCCCACCCACCCCAGCTTTGCTCACAGTTAAGCATGGACAGGCTGAGCTGGCTAATCCCAGCAAGCTCTGAGCATCCAGCCCTGCTCCAGGTCCCCAGCACAGTTCCTGGGGACAGGGCCACACTGTGCTCTGTGAGACCCTGGCCCTGCCAGCACCATTGGTTTGGGATGGAGCACAGCCAGCCAGACTGTTCTGTGCCCCACTCGGAGGGGACCAGGGGGATATTTCCATTTTTGGAGTATCTATAATGTCTGCAGCTATAAACAGGGCAGTAAAAATAACTGCTCTGTGCCTCTGGGTTGCCCTGAGATGCTGAGAGTCGCTCTGGGCTGGAGAGACTGGAGGTTTTTAGGGCTTGGTCTGAAAAGCCTGATTATGGGAAGACTATTTCTGGCTGTTGTGACCTTTTGCAGCCCCTCACGACAGTGTGGCCATGCCAAGCACTGTCCAGCTCCAGCCAAGCCTGGGGCTGTGGATGGAAGGGAGTGGCAGGATGGGCAGTGGTGGGCTGGCCCCAAGGATGAGCCCTCAGTGGGAAGCTGCAGGTGGGGGTACCTGCACCCCATTGCTTACCAGTGTCTCATGCAGGTGGCCCAGCTGCTGCTGAACAGCCATCTGTGTGTCGCCCTGCTGGAGGGACAATCCAAGGATGCCACTGACCCCAACTACACCACTCCGCTACATCTGGCAGCCAAGAACGGGCACAAGGAGATCATCAGGTAATTCCCTGCTTTATTCTGGAAAAACCCATCATGGCTTCAGTCTCACTTCCTCCCAAACACACCTTCCTCCTGCAGGCTTCAGCCCCTCATCCCCAAAGCAAGTGCAAGGTGTTGTCCATTTCCTGCCGTAAAGCAGCCAAGTGCCTGGTCTTGATGTCCTCTCCTCTTCTTGCTCTTGCTTTCTGCCTCTGCCCTCCCTGGACTCCTCTCTTTCATGCCTCTCCCTCCTTCCTACCAGGCAGCTGCTGAAGGCTGGGATTGAGATCAACAAGCAGACAAAGACAGGCACAGCCCTGCATGAGGCCGCGCTCTACGGCAAAACAGAGGTGGTGCGGCTCCTGCTGGAGGTGAGCACGGTGGGGATGGCATTGGGGACAGCCCCTGGGGGTCACTGTCACTCAACACCCTTTCCCCTCAGTCCCTTGCCTCCCTTGAGTCCGGTGGCAGACAGGGAGCTGGCCTTGACCATGTCCTCTCCTGGGCAGGGTGGAGTTGATGTGAACATCCGGAACACCTACAACCAGACAGCACTGGACATTGTCAACCAGTTCACCACCTCACACGCCAGCAAGGACATCAAGCAGCTGTTGAGAGGTGAGGTGGGGATGGCACTGAGAGGGGTTTCTTTCCTCTGGGACCTGCCTGGGCTCCCAGTGCTCCTCCTGAACAGCCTAAATCAGTGCCAGCATCCCAGTCCCCCTCTCACATGTGCCCCTATCCTACGTGTGGGGCAGTGTCTGGGGATTGAGGCCTTTCTGCAATATTAACGTTTTCTTCTCTCCTCTTCTTGCTCTTGCTTTCTCCTTCTGCCCTCCCTGGACTCCTCTCTTTCCTCCCTATGCTATGGCATCTCCTTTCTTCCTCTGTCCCTTGCCTTCAGAGGCATCAGGAATCTTGAAGGTCCGAGCTTTGAAGGATTTTTGGAACCTCCATGACCCAACTGCTCTCAACGTCCGAGCAGGAGATGTCATCACGGTGAGGCTGCTCTCTGCTCCCCATCCCCCTGCCCCACCGTGCCCTGGGTACCAGCCCCATCCCTCTTGTCCCGTGGCAGGTCCTGGAGCAGCACCCAGATGGCCGATGGAAGGGGCACATCCACGACGCTCAGAAAGGCACCGACCGGGTCGGGTACTTCCCCCCCTCCATTGCTGAAGTCATCAGCAAGAGGACAGGTCAGTGGCCATCCTGAGCATGCTGGGGACAGTCCCCTGTGCAAAACCTTCCCAGCCTTCCCAGCACCTCCTGTCAGACAGGCCCTGCAGCCCTGCCTAGCTAGGGGGGAAGGGAAGGCTCAGGGGTTGTCACCATGGTTGGAACACTCCTTTGGGGGTTGTGCTCAGTTCTCCCCCTGTCCCTGCCTCCTGCATGAGCTCTGACCACGTGTGTTTTGTCTTTGAACGCAGGCATGGTTGTGCCCCGCGTGGCACCCGC